GATTGTTCTCTCCAGGGCGTGTGTCTACTTGAGGTAAATGTTTAACTCACATGCCTGTACTTTGTTTGGCTGGAAACCACAGTTGTGGGTTCAATTCCAGACCTGAAGGGCAGCTAGGGGCCATAGTCTCAGTGGTTACACCAGGCTCCATTGGACCAGCAAACCTGGTCAAATCACTTTTAATAGTTTCCATTCACACAGATTCCAATAGGATTGTCTTTCATTTCCTTATATGTGTTGTTGTTAGTAGCCATTGAGTTGATTATAACATAGTTATTATTTGTATACTTTATGGATCTATTTCTATTGTTTTTGCTCATGATATGAAGTCATTGTTTCTTTTTATTTTTATGTACTTGACATTGTATTTTAAATTTTACTTGTAGGAATATTTTGAGATATACTGAGAAGATATTTTCTTCTAGAGAAAAGTTAAATTTGCTTGTGCGAGGTGACTGCGGCATTTGAATCAGGGACCATGTTAAAATAAGTTCAAGGTTCATGAGTCCCTTGATGACACATAGTGCTTGAGCAGGAAGGTCTCTTGTTAGATGCCATATGATATGGGCCTGACTTTGTATAGTAATCTTCCTTGCTTTTAAGAAGATGCTTTTAAATTTTATCCTTTTTTTTTTTTTAATCTGTGATAGATTGATCTGAATAACTTTTACTGAAACAGCGTGTTTTATAGCAATTTATTTAAGCAGGTACCTGTTATTGTAGATTCAGTTTTTCTTTTCTTTATTATTATAAATTACACTCAGTGAAGAAATATTGTTCCTCTTTGTACACTTGTCTTGGTATTTAAGATTAATTCTGGAAGTGAAATTGTTATGGTCTGCATTTTTTAAGGCTTTTTATTTATTATGTATTATCAAAGTGCCCTACAGAAAGATTGACCCAACACTATGTATTCTAAATCCTTTAAAATTTTGTCATTTCAATAGCTAGAAAGTTGTTACAAATAGAATATATCCTTCAAAAATACTTGTTGTAAATCACATAGAATTATGAAATTCCACATGCAGGAAACAGACTCAGAAAGCTGTATCTTTTGTCCTCCAAGAGAATAAAAGGACCATCCTTGAAGGAGCTTGGAGATCAGCAGAACTGTTGGAAGGAGCTTGGGAAGTAGGGCCTTCTTGGTTCCAAAGAGTGTGGCCAAGGTCTTCTGGATCTCAAAGGGTGGGGTCATAGCCTCCTAAATTTCAGAGAGTTGGGTCTTTGCCAACTTGGTTCTGGATCATGGTGCTGCCATTCAGATGTGCCAAGGGAATGGGATTGCCACCCAAAGCTGAGGAGTTAGGGCTGCCATGCTTAAGGGTTGGAAGAAGGGAGTCTGTGGGGGTTGAGTGGGTGAGGTTGCCATTCAGATGGACTGATTCAGTGGTGCTGCCCAAAGTTGAGGTTGCAGAATTGCCATCCCAGTGCACCTGGAAGGCAAAAGTGAATTCCGAAGGACCTCTGTCCAGAATCCAGAGAGCATGACCAGCACTTAGAGCCTGCAGGGTGGTAGGGCCATAGCCTAGATGGTCTCAGAGAACAGAGAGCTAATGTAGTTTGTTCTTCTGGTCTTGTGTTTGTTTGGTGCCCATTAGCCCTTTTTTCCCTCCAGTTTCTCTCATTTGTAATGGAAATGTCTACCTTGTGCCTGTTCCACCATTGTATTTTGGAAATAGATAACTTGTATTCTAGATTTCACAGGCTCATAGATGAAGAGGAATTTTGCCTGAGGATGGAATATGGCTAAGTCTCACCCATACTTGATTTAGATGATTGAGAAGAAGAGATTTTGGACTTGGAGTTGATGTAAAACTTCTGAGATGATGTGATGGGGTAAATGTGTTTTGCATGTGGCAAGGACTTAAATTTTTGGGTGTCAAAGGTGGAATGTTGTGGATTGCATTATGTACCCCCAAAATATGTGTTGTAAATCCTAACCTGTAGGGTATGAGTTGGAATTGACTTTATGGGAGTGGGCTTAGTTTTTCATTATGATTGTGGTTATAATCCTATTTGGGAATGGATTGTGTTTGTTAGGTGAATGAGATAGGTTTAGTGTAGGCTATCTTGAGTCAATCCCTTTTAAGTAGAAAAGTGGTCAAGCAAGTGAGTAGATTAGGGATGGGGTAAGATAGATGTCAAGACACATGGAGATCTCCAAGGATCCAGGAAGCAGAAACTGAAGAGACAGTGACTTTCCAGAGCTGACAGAAAGAGAAAGCCTTTCCCAAGAACCAGCAGACTGAATTTGGACTTACAGCCTCCTCAAATATGAGAAAAGAAATTTGTTTGTTAAAACCACTCACTTAAGGTATTTCTTTTATAGCAGCACTACCTAAGATGACTAACACATTTGAGTTCAGGGGCAGGAAAGAACCATCTGAGCTGGAATATGACATCAGTATTTATGTTATAACAAGGATTATACTGTATGCTGGGAGCACAAAGTAAGACATGTTCCCATACTCCAAGAGTTTGCAGTCTAGTTCAGAACTGGCGAGCAGTGTCATAGAACAGTGTCAGATGAGTCTAAAAGTGTATATAAAATTTAAATATATATAAAAAGTAAAGATGGGTATTGCAAATATAAAGAATTGCATGGAGGAAGGAGAGTAGCTTTTTCGTACACTGTGGTAGGTAAAGTTGTGTGTCAACTTGGCTGGACTTCGTTTTGAGTGGCGAGGCAGCTGGATGTATTTATTCCCCGTGATGAGATGGTAATTAGCTCTGTGGTGGAATTTGCAGTGAACAGCTGAGTAGCTGCCTTAGGGAGTTGGTGTGCTTCCAGTATATAAGAAACAGCTTTGAGAAAGTTCTCTGAGCTTTTTGGCATGCTTGGATCCTGCATGTGGCCAAGTCTTCATTCAGCAGCCTGCCATGTTTTCTGATGATCTTGGGACTGTTTCTGGACTTGAACTAGTAGCCTGCAATGTAGCTTAATAATCTTGTTGTTGTTGTTCGGTGCTGTCAAATTGACTCTGACTCATAGCAACCCTGTGTACAACGAAGAAAAAACTGCTTGGTTGTGCACCATCTTCACAATCCTTGCTATATTTGAATCCATGGTTGCAGCCACTTATCAGTCCATTGCATTGAGGGTTTTCCCTTTTTTATTGACCCTCCGCTTTCCAAGCATGATATCCTTCTCCAGGGAATGGTCCCTTCTGACAACATGACCAAAGTAGGTGAGATGAAGTCTGGTCAGTGTGGCTTCCACTGAGTATTCCTGATGCACTTCCACCAGGATGGATTTGTTAGTTCTTCTGGCAGTCCATGACACTTTCAGTATTTTTCACCAACATCACAGCTCACAAGCATCAACTCTTCTTCGGTTTTCCTAATCTTGATAATCTTGGGATTCTGCCATTGTACTTGTTGACCTTGGGTTTGTCAGCCTCAGCAGCCAGCAGCTGTCTGAGTTAGGAGAAGCCTCCAGGCTTTAGTGGGCTGAGAGCAAGAGGCAGAGCTGAAGCCCAAGGTTGAGAGGCCTTAACCCAGCCCTTAGAGCTGCCTGCCACTTTGAACGGGGACTTCTAGCCTCCTAAACTGTAAGGGAATAAAACCCAGTTTGTTAAAGTCATCCATTTGTGGTATCTGTTAGAGCAGCACTAGAGAACCAAAACATAGACCTACTATGTTCTAGGCAATTTATATGTATTGCTTTTATGTTCACAACAGTGCTATAAGGTCATTATTATTATTATTGTCTTCTTTCTGTAATGAGGAAACTAATTCTCCAACAAGTCAAAAAACTTGGCCCAATCATGTGGTTAGTAAATGGTGGAGCTGAGAATTCAGTTTGAGGCTGCCAGAACACAGTCCCCACACAGGTACAAATATTACAAGAGTGCCTTTTTTCACATGATTTATGTGAGCAGAAAGCTTTTGTTCATCTCTCATTGAGTGTTGATGTATGATCATACAATCTTAAACCTTATATAGTACTTCCCCATTAGTTTTTTATTGCATTAATTTTTAAGTCATCAACTTAGTGACTTAAAATAGCACATATCTCACAGGTTTCCTGGCTGAGGAAGTTTCTGTTTGTTAAAGCCACCCATTTGTGGTATTTCTGTTATAGCAGCACTAGATAACTAAGACACAAGTAGTACCACATTATTATTTTAATTTGTATTTATTTTTATAACTTTTATGAATATTGGTTTTTGTGTTTTACCACTTTGAGGTTACTAGTACTTATGTATTACTATCTAGGTTTTTATTAAGAATAACTCATTGTCAGATGTTGCAAGTATTTCTCTCAGTTTGTTATTTATGTTTTATCTTCATTTGTTGTTATGTGCTGTAGGACCCGACTCATAGTGATCCCTCCTTTGGTTTCCAAGGCAGTATCACTATGGAAGTAGATAGTAGATAAGTAGATTGTCCCATCTTCCTTCCAAGGACTGGCTGGTGGGTTTGAACCGCCAGCTTTCTGGTTAGCAGTCAAGTGCCTTAGGCACTATGCTACCAGAGCTCTTCATTTACAGATCTTTTTTTAAATCTAATCGGATCTATCAATCTTTTCTTTTTTTGAGGCCATTACAGTCTGAGGTACAGATTTAGAGTTGTTTCTGCAAGAATGAATGTTTTAAGGTTTGAGTTGTCTTATACATCTAGAAAATTAAAAAATAGTTAAACCACTCTTAAACTGAAATATATATTTTAGTAAATAACTAAGTCTTGAATTGAGATTATACTCATTTTTTGTCTGTATTTACCTGAGTTTTTATTATGAATTCCTCTCATTTTCTTACTGTTTCTACTAATGTTGTTTTAAAGATACATGCTTTTGGCAATTACCAGAGTAGAAATGTGAAGGAATATTCAATTTAGATTTTCACATTGATTTCACTAATGATTCATTAATCATACTGTGAAAGATTTGAGATGTCAGGGTTTTAAGTTTTTTTTTTTTTTTTAAGTAAAGTATAGACTCCAGTAGAACAGGAAAGCGTTTTGTTGGAACTAAATAAGAACTTTTAATTTCCTTTTAGATTAGTGATGAAGGGAAGAATCTTCGCGAACAGGAGATTATTGCTTCATCACCAAGTTTAAGTGGGCCTCATTTGGACATGGAAACAATTTATAAGGTATGTAAACCTAAATTATTTTCTAGATTTTGTTAAATAGATCACATTGATCTTCATGTATGTACTTAATTAACCCATTCAGAGAGCCCTCATGTTAGTATAGCTACCCTCTCTCCTGTGGAGTTCTCATCCCTTTAAAGTATGCTAGAATCTGTGCTGGTTGTCCTCTTGCCAGGATACTTTTTTAACCTTGTTTGGGTTCTCACCTCTGCTGCAGGCTGTTCTCTTAAAGCAATGCACTCCTCACAACACTTGGGCTTCTATACCCTTTACTAGGCTGTCTCCTGCACAGATGCCCTCATCACTTACTTGGCTCCTACACCCTGTGCTGCCTTGAAGGGAAGTCATTTTTGCCACTCTTGGCCTCTTATACCATGCTTTGGACCATCTCCCCACGTGGACTCCCTGTCATTCCACTTGTGCTTTTATACTCTATGCCAGCTTGTCTCTCTCATGGGGATGTTTTCCTTAATCCACTCAAGTTCCAGCATTTTGTACTGGGCTACCCCAGTCTTTCCCACAACCCCAGCATAGACACCTACTTTGCTTGAATCCGTTAAATGATTTTTGGGTTGAATAGTTCCAGAAGCGGAAGAGGAGGAGAGCTGAAACTCATTTTAATACTTGATAGCTACAGCCCTGCAACTCTTATACTTTCTTTTTGAAAAATACCACTGATTATTATTGGTGAATGCTAATAATTTAAAATTCTGCCTCACATTAGCTGTCCATTTTGGCTCCCCTGTTTCTACCATTTGTGTCATCATTCAGTCAGCCTTCCAAGCTTAGAGTGGAAGAATCAATATTTATTCCTCCCATACCACATGTTTCCTGTTACACTGTCTTCACATCATCTTTTGATTCTGCTTGGGCATTTTTATTTCCACTGTGACTACCCTTATAAGTTGGAATGTTAGAGCCAAAGAACCCATAAGGATCATTTAATCCATCTCTTCCTCTCTTCCTCCAGTTTTATAGATCTGGTCACTGAGGTTTAGAGGAGTCCATTGAATTTACCAGAGTCACAGGTCTTGGACTAGAACTCATATTTCCTTGCCTGGAATATTGCAGTAAACCCTCCCACCTGTTCCTGTAATTTTCCACATGTGATCCTATGTGCTTGGTGCAGTATCACGAACAGTACTACCCTGTAGAGCTGTTCGGCTTTCCATGTTGTCTATCTTGTTTCCTCAACTAAGTGATGAAAACTCTTTGAGGACAAGGACAATGTTGTAATCATAGAAATTAGCAAATAATCAAAAGCTATCTGTTAAAAAACATACAGTCTGTTCATAGCGTGAGGTGTCATTGGATATACAGAAGAATTTTAGACATTGGGATTCAACTCTTTCCAAAAATTTGCATGAATAGGGAAATTTGGAATCATCTTTTTCACTTGATTTCTTACCTCACTTTTAAAAATGGGAGAAATTCTTTCTATGTTGGAGATCAGGAATGATTTTTGCTATTTACTAATACATTCTCCTCATCTCTTAGAATCTTAGGATAGTTCATAGGACTATAAAAGATATAAATGGAATAGTATTAGTATTTAAAAAGAAATACTCACCGGCAAATACTTATTTTATCCAACCTAAACACTTAACTATTATTTCCATTTCTTGGTGTTGAGATTAACTTTTACAATATATTTTTCTAGAGAAAGAATGGAATTATAGATGAAGAAATGCAGAATTACTTTAACTGTAAACAAAAAACAAACCCAGTGACGTTGAGTGGATTCTGACTCATAGCTACCCTATAGGCCAGAGTAGAACTGCCCCATAGAGTTTCCAAGGGTGTAAATCCAATATATGTGTCATACCATCATCACCTCTACTCTGAAATGAACAGTTTTGGGCTGCCACCCCTTTCTAATGCTAACTGTTTCAATTTAAGGAGTATAAATAGATCTTTTTGTTTTTCTTTTGGATTTCCTGAGACTAATGTACTTATCAGAGGAATGATTTTCTTTAGACTTAATACATGTGAAGATTTGTGAGGATTTTGTAATGACACATGCTGACTTGCTTTTCCTATTTCACTCTGAATTCAGATCCCTTTTGCTGATGCTCTAGATTTGTTTCGAGGAAGAAGAGTCTATTTGGAAGATGGCTTTGCCTATGTACCACTTAAGGACATTGTGGCGATTATCTTGAATGAATTTAGAGCCAAACTATCCAAGGCTTTGGCAGTAAGTATTTCACTTTATTATTTAATTTGTTCACGTTTTTAGTTATATCCCTTGGTAGTCTTGAGCTGTTTTGCTTTAGGAAATAAGTTTTATTTAACTTTCATAATAATATTCAGATTACTTATTATGTCCTACTGGTAATTCCAGAACAGCTGTTTGCATTTGTATATTACGAAGCCTAAATGCATTTAAAATAAATTTTAACTTGTTTATTTTATAAATTTACTCCATAAACAATGTTGTTTTGCATTCATTTTGCATTTTTCTCTCAGATTATTTAAGGTATTCTAAGTATATTTGCGGTTTGTTTTTCTAGTAGTCCACTGTAGAGGGAAGGATATGTGGTAAACTTTTGCAAAAGTTTTTTTTTTTTAATATTTTTAAAATTTGTAACTTTCTGGTTAGAAGACAGGATCCCAATAAATGCTGAGGGAGAAGACAAAACTGAGTTTATAAGTTAGGAATAAGATCTTTGTTTTCCAACAAACTGCACTTAAGCTTTGTTCTTTATTTGTAACAAATATAGCATAAGAACTTTGAGGTTTTTTCTTTTTCCCTCCTATTTATTCTTTCCCTGCTCTAAATTCTTAAAAATGCATATTTGTTAAGACTTTATTTTGAAACAATACAAACTTAAAAGTTCCAAGTAAAGTTAATAACTTTTTCCCAAAACCATTTGAGGACAAATTGCCACCCTGAGTTTAGTGTCTGATCCTTATAAACAAGGGCATTCTCCCTCATAACCATAATTCAGTGGTCAAAATAGGAAAATTAGCACTGATACATTACTACCATCAAATGCTCAGACCCCACTCAAGTTTCACCAGCTGTCTCAATAATATCTTTTATAACTAAATGTTCTAGTCCTAGTTACCTGTGCCTTTTAGTTGTCATGTCTCTTTAGGCTTCAGTCTGGAACATGTTCTTAGTTTCACCAAGACTTTCATGACTTTGTCATTTTCAAAGATTACAGACTACTTATTCTGTAGAATATCTGTTTGGGTTTGTCTGATATTTTCACATATTTCAATTAACATCCTACACCTTGAACAGTAGTATCAAAACATACTGTCCTGTCAGGTAGCACGATTCTGACTTGTCCCAATTCTGACTGACTTCATTACAATTTATTTACCTGTTCTGTTGTTGATAGACAAGGAACTCTGATGGTACAGTGGTTAAGGCATTTCACTGGTAACCAGAAAGTTATTGGTTCAAAACTCATCAGCTGCTCCACAGGAAGATGAAGCAATCTACTTCTGTAAAGATTTATAGCCTTGGAAACCCTATAGGTTGCTGTGAATCAGAATCAACTTGACAGCAGTGGGTTGATGGGTTATTGTTGATAGACATTTAAACAACAAAAAAATTTATGGGTATTATTTATACTTCTGCTCTGAGAGTTCCAGTATATCATTTGACAAATGCATTTCTGTTAGTTCTATACCTAGAAGTGGAATTCTAGGGTATAGAGTAACTGTGTTGATCTTTAGTGGATTCATATTTACTTTAATTGAATATGTCCTGGTTATTGGTGGACTGTGAGGAGTTCTGGCCTCAGTGTCTCTGGAATTGATAGATAAGCTGCAATAGCTCACTGTATCAGTCAGTCCCTGGTTCTTTCCTGAATGGGTCATGGCTGAGTCTGGTTGACAGGAAGTCCAGAGAGCCCTTTAGCTTATCATGCAGGAGAGTGGATAGGAACCTGTCCTGAGAGCAGTGGAAGGGAGTAGCAAGACAAGTAAGGAGTTTCTCTTAGGAATGTAGTGAAATAGAAATCTAAATCTCTCACTATAGTCTCCTTATAACTTTCCTTTTCAGTCAGAAGGGTTTTGACCTTGGAGTATATAGTTGAGATTTTGCAGCTTTATAAATGGAAATATTCTTGTAAGATGAGAAAAATTGAAGTAGATAAAAAAAATATCTGACTTAGTGGTAGAAGATCAAATAAATAGTGCTTGGGAAATCTAAGTTAATAGAAGAGTTTTATTCCAGGGGATATCTGAAAGTGTGTTCTTGACCTGTAATCTTGTGCTTATTATGGTATTATAACTAATCTGGCTTTTGAACATATTTTAGGACTAGCGAAAGTTGTACATTTTCTTCGAAAAGCACTCCTTTCTTACTCTACTCACCTTTTGAGACTCAACTATGGCCCTTTGGTCTCCAGAAATCTCCCCTAACTCCCCATGTATACATATTTCCGTTGTGCTCCCACAACACTCTGCATACTGCCAAATTGTTATAAAATTATTCTGATTATGGATTTTTCTCCCCATCTAAAATGTAAGCTCTTTTAGAGTAAGGGTTCTGTTTCAATTACGTTTTTCTATCTCTGTCATCTAGTGTATCATCTGGTTTCTAGGATCAGTGCTCAGTAGAATGTTGTTGAACTGATAGATTCTGAATAATAATAATGATAAATCCATTTGTCTAAAAGTTTCTGTTTCTGCATTATCTCATTTTACCATAAGCCTCTGAGATAGAGAGGGATTATAATTTATTATATAGATGAGGAAGTGAAAGGCTAAGTAATTTGCTCTAGGTTATTTTGACTAGTAATTGATGCAGCCATGATTGGCTCATGTTTTCTGACTATAATTCTTAGGGTCTTTTGATTGTGATTGTGTCGTTGTAAGGAGTTGTATGATCAGGGCCTTTTAGATTTTCAAATTAAGAAAATATTGAAACTAAATGTGGTAGAGTCTAGTTATAGAGCAGGCAGAAGGGTACATTTGGAGCTGAGATATGCTGAATCAATGCACAGTGAAGGAAAATGATGAGAGAAAGATGTATTCCTTTGTTTCACATAATAATTCTAGAAGCCTTAGACAGTTTTTTCAGTTATTGATTTTATTTTTCAATAAATTTTCATTTTTTCTCTTTTGTATTGTTTTGGGTACTAGGGATACAGTACTAAACAAGATAAGGTAAATTTTCTTCTGTTACAGAGCTTACATTCTAGTGGAAGGTACGGACATTTACAAAAAAAAAAACAAAAAACAAAAAATCATTATCTATAATGTGAAAGAGCCTGCTGAACGAATATACAGAAAAGAGCATCTCAGACGTGGAAAGTCACTAATGTGAAAGCCCCAAGGAGGGAATGTTGGCATCTTTGCAGAATAAAAAGGCCAGTGCAGTTGGGGTTTTATGAGCTAGTGGGGAGTGATAGGAGATGAGACTGCACTGATTCTTGGGCTAGATGTAGGACTTTGAACAAACTAAGGTAAAAAGTTTGGTTTTTAGCCTCATGTAGTGTAAAGTCAGTCACTAGATAGTTTTGAGTAAGGGAGAGACATGATCTTATTTTTGTTTTAAATAGATGACTATTACTATTGCTGTTGCTTGAAATTGTGCTTTGGAGTGTAGAGAAAGGGGAAGCAGGGAGACTAGTTAGGGAGGGAGATGTTTATAGTAATCTCGTTGATGGCATGAACTAGGGTGAATTTGCTAGTGGCAACAATTGAAAGAAGACAGTGGATTTCATTTATATTTTTGAAGTATTATTGGCATAGTGGGTTGAGTGTGACAGCAAAAGCAATCAAGGATAGTAATGCTAATAGTAGTAATGTTAGTTCAAACTTAATGAATATTTACTATTTGCCAGGTGCTATTCAAAATGCTTTACATGAATTCATACATTTAATCCTCATTATAACCCTGTGATGCGTTATCATCACTCTTTGAGGCTTTTGTCTTTGTACAGGTACTGAGGAGAGTAAGTAAGATTTGCATCCAGGTAGTCAGGCTTCAAAGTCTGTGTCTTGGACCACTGTTACACTGCCTAGATTTTTGGGCTGGTCTGATTAGAGAGAGATGCCATTTACCAAGATGTGGAAGACTGTGGGAAAAGTATGTGAAATAAAATTGAGAGTTCTGTTTTGACCATGTTAAATAGGAAGTACTTATTTGATATCCAAATGGAGACAGCAATTAAGAAGTTGGAGTTAGGAGTCTGGAGAAGGGAGGAGAATGTGAAGCTGTGAGATGATATGAGATTACATTGGGAGAATATAGTGTGTCAGTGGAGAAGAGAGGAGGGTTTGCAACTAGGATTTTCAAACACCTCCTCTCTACGTCATTGAGCAGTAGAAAAGGCCTTTTTTATTTTCACTCCATTGTGACAGTTTCTTAAATTGTGAATGAATTTCTATAAGATAAATTCTCTCTTTTCTCACATAGTATGACTAATTTCACTTTCTGTTTGTGTATGTCATTATTAGAGGGTGCTGATAAAACTTATGAAAAACAGACTTTTTTAGAAGATGGGTTTCTAACACTTTTAATTTAGATACAGAAAGGAATTTGAGAAGTTACCAGTGAAATAATTGACAGCCAAGGAAGCAGCTCTTTCTTGGAGTTGCAGAGAAAATAAAGGATTTTCTTTTATTGGAAAGGATTTTCTTTTTCATAGTTTTATAATACTAGTTGAATCTGTGGCTTACCGAGTATTTGTTGGTTTGGAAAAATATGCTTTATAGGTACTTGATCAAATAATTTTTATTTCTAAAGAGCTTGGAATCCTCTTAAATCTTTTATCCTCTTTTTAAAAGCAGTGTTCCCTTTATTTCCTTAAGCTGTGGTTAAATAAAATTAATTTTCTGGAACTATTGCTTACTTTGGAATCACATAGGAGTTTTCTTTGTATTATTTATATTTTACTAGTTGATTCTTTGGGGTTTGAACTGATTAATATGTCTCTTTTAGTACTGCTTCCTGATTATTTAATGTTATCTTAAAGTGGCTTTCCATGAACCAGTGCTACAGCTAATCCATTATTTCTTTCCCCATTTCATAAATTTGCAAAAGAAATAGTAATTTATTCAGGATAACAAACCTTCATTTCCATTGTTACTATAAGGCATAGCCCATTTGTTTTCCCATGATACTTATTTGTAGGAAATAAAATATTGCATTTGGAAGCCATGAAACTAACAGAAAGAAATCATTCACTTGGGAAAAATCAAAACATAGCTCTTTTACTTTGGCCCATTTCTGTTTACTGAAGCTATTAAGGTGAACTTGATCTTTGCTCCATTTATAAGATTGGTCCATTAAGCCCTTTATAAGGTCTATTTTACAGTTTGTTATTGTTGTTTACAATTTGTTTTGTAGAGTTAAAAATTTGTTTATTGGCAGACAAACATTTCTCTAACATATGTAAGGTTTACTGCCTGGTACCTAGGTACTATGGGAAATGAGAAGGTTATACAATAGGACCCTGGACCTTAGGAAGTCTATAGTCAAGTAGAGGGAATGAAAGGATTAGGCTAGCTAGAAGAGGGAAGTGTCCCAAGAGCTACACTACATCACCTAAGCTCAGGAAATTTTGAGGAAAGATGGAGCTGACATGGGCTTTAAATGATGCTTAGCCAAGGAAGATGAATAGCTTGCAAAAGATAACAGGTGCCAGAAAACATGGCTTGTGTTTGGAGAATGGTTAATGGTATAATTGGTTGGAGTTAATGTCTGTGAAGAATTATAGATCAAATGGGAAACATGGGTGTCACCATGCTTATGAGCTTGGGTTTTAGTCTATATGTTAGTGGTTTCCAAACTTTTTTTATTGTGCTCTCCCTGTTAAAATATCACACATCCCTAATGTAGACTAAGGTGTGTATGTTATCAACTGGGAATTTTAAAAAGGATGAGGAAAAAAAGAAGAATAGAAATTTTAATATTTTTCCCTCATCTCAGTAAGTGTTCTTGTTGTTGTTATATGCTGTCGAGCCAGACCTGACTCATAGTGACCCCTCCTTGGGTTTCTGAGGCAGAATCACTACGGAAGTAGATTGCCCAACCTGCCTTCCGAGGAGTGGCTGGTGGGTTTGAACCGCCAGCCTTCTGGTTAGCAGTCAAGTGCCTTCGGCACTATGCTGGTATAGCTCTGGTAGAGCTCCCATCTCAGTAAGTAATCTAGCCAATTTGGAAACCATTGTTGTAAGCTGCAGGTGCTACAGATGGGTTCTTTTTTTTTTTTATTAGGATTTGGGTGAAGATTTACAGAGTAAATTCACTTTTCATACAGCAGTTCACATATACTTTGTCTCATGTCATTGACCAAAATTTACAATGCAGCAGCTCCCCTCCCACTTCCTCCCCATAGTTACCTCCTCCCAGTGTCCATCCCTTCATACTCTTCGAGAGGCCCATTGTCTGCCAACCCTGTATATGATCTTGGATACACTCTCTATTTAGACATACATAATTGTTTAGCTTGTTCACCCATCTATCCGTCCCTATACCCATGTTTGCTTTCATTGACAACTCAGTATTGTATTTACAAAGGGGTTCATATTTGTTGTTTGTACTGCCCATGTAACTCTCTCTGTCTTTCTCATCCTCAATGCTGCCATATTGGTCACTCACATTTGGTACATTGCCCTTCTCTTCACCCAAATCAATATTTATCTCTATCTATCTAACAGCATTCCCTCCCCTTCCCTCCCACCCCTGGTAACCAACAAAGAAAATGTCCTCCAATATATAAACCTTTCCTTAACTTTCACAATAACAGACTAATACAATATTTGTCCTTTTGTGACTGACTTATTTCGCTCAGCATAATGTCCTCCAAGTTCATCCACGTTATGCGGTGTTTTGCAGATTCTACATTATTCTTTAGCGTTGCATAGTATTCCATTGCGTGAATGTACCAAAGTTTGGTTATCCATTCCTCAGTTGTTGGACATCTAGGTTGTTTCCAAGTTTTGGCTATTGTAAATAGTGCTGCGATGAACATCGGCGTGCATATATACAGATGGGTTCTTGCAGTGGGGTTTGAGACAGAGCGTGTAGTGCAATGAATTGCTTAATAAGGCCCTAGTAGCCATAGCTGTCCGTTTTGTGATGTATTATGAATCCTAGCCTCTAGTCCTGTTTAAATGACCTCTGGTGGCGTAATGCCTAAGGCATTTGAGTGCTAACCAGAAGGTTGGCAGTTCAAAACCACCAAGACATTCAGCAGAGGAAAGATTACTACCGTAAAGATTTACTGCCTTGGAAACCCAGTGAGGTAACTAACAGAATCAATTTGATGGTAGTGAGTTTGGTTTTTTGCTTATGCCTGTTTAGGATGGGATGAATCCCGCCTTGCTGGAGGGTGTGACTCAAGTCACTACCTTTAGGTTCCTTCAGGGTATATGTGTTAGTATTCTGGCAAAGTTCGCTCTCTTTTGTTCTGGATCCTGCGTTTGGTTTGTCCTCATCTCACCCCTGGATTTGAGACAGCAGCCAGTTGTCTGACCTACTGATTTGAGTCTGCCAGATCCTGCAACCATGTGAGAAAGGAGAATCCTCGAGACCTATGCTTGACCCATGGATTTGGGATTTGACAGATTGCCAGCCTTCACCATTGCATGAGCTGTTTTCCTTGGCAGTTTAAGAGTTCTGTGAGACATAATAGTGAAATATGGAACCATAAGATGGGAGGGGAGATTACTGAGGGGACAAAGAGGGGTTGATGTTGGAAATGATGGAGTGGTACAGAAGTTTGGAAAAGTTGGACATTTGGGAAGTCTTTAACCTCCACCTCATAGGGACCAGCCTTGTGCTGATCTTTCTAAAAGAAATTATTTGGACAGAGCTCTTTGGGATTTTTATATTGGTGTGTTGAGTGTATAGGATTAACAAGACGTTGGATTGGAATTTAGAAGAATGCTTAGGGATTCTGACAAAGATATAGGAGTCCCCCTATATGATTGTGTAATTTGAAGCCATTCTACTGGATGCAATAGGGAATGAAGAGCAATAGGGAATGAAGAGCAAGAGGACCTCAAATCAAACTGAATATATTTCAAGGTTGGATGTATGAATATATTTCAAGATTGGTGCAATGAGTTGTATGCCACAAATGAAAAGGTCGTTGTAAGTAAGTCTTGGCATCGAACTCCATTATTATCTTATTCTATTTAGAAAATCTAGGCTATTGGCACCACATGTTGTTGTTAGATGCCATTGAGTCTGCTCTGTCTCATAGCGACCCTGTGTACAACAGAATAAAACACTGCCCGGTCCTGTGCCGACCTCACAATCCTTGCTATACCTGAGCCCATCATTGCAGCCACTGTGTCAATCCATCTTGTTGAGGGCCTCCCCCTTTTTTATTGACTCTCTAGTTTACCAAGCATGATGTCCTTCTCTGGGGAATGGTCCCTTCTGACAACATGACCAAGTAGGTGAGATGAAGTCTGACCATTCCCACTTCTAAGGAGCATTCTGCCTGCACTTCTTCCAGCGCAGATTTGTTTATTCTTTTGGCAGTCCATGGTGCTTTCAGTATTCTTCGCCAACACCACAACTCAAAGGCATCAACTCTTCTTCGGTCTTTCTTGTTCATTGTCCAGCTCTCACATACATGTGAGGTGATTGAAAATACCATGGCTTGGGTTAGGTGCACCTTAGTCTTCAAGGAGACATCCTTCCTCTTTAGCACTTGAAAAAGGTCTTTTGCATCAGATTCACCCAGTGCAATATGTCGTCTGGTGTCTTGACTGCTGCTTCCATTGATGTTGATTGTAGAACCAAGTAATATGAAATCTTTGAGAACGTCAATATATTCTCCATTTATTGTGGTGCTTGCTTATTGGCCCAGTTTTGAAGATTTTCGTTTTCTTTATGTTGAGATGTAATCTATACTGCAGATTGTAGTCTTCAGTCTTCATCAGTAAGTACTTTAAGTCATCCTCACTTTCAGCAAGCAAAGTTGTGTCACCTATATATGGCAGATGGTTATTGATTCTTTCTCTAGTCCTGATGCCATAGTCTTCATATAGCCCAGCTTCTTGGATTATTTTCTCAGCATACATATTGAATAAATATGAGGAAAGGATATAACCCTGATGGACTCCCTTTCTGATTTTGAACCATGAAGTATCCCCTTGTTCTGTTTGAACAACAGCCTCTTGATCTATGTACAGGTCCTCATGAGCACAATTAAGTGTTCTGGAATTCCCATTCTTCTCAGTGTTATCCATAATTTGTTATGATCCACAAAATCAAATGCTTTTGCATAGTCAATAAACATAAGTAAACATCTTTCTGGTATTCTTTACTTTGAGCCAAGATCCATCTGACATCAGCAATGATATCCCTTATTCCACATCCTCTTCTGAATCCAGCTTGCATTTCTGGAAGTTCTCTGTGAATATACTGCTGCAGCTGTTTTTGAATTATCTTCAGGATTTTACTTGTGTGTGATTTTAATGATATTGTTTGATAATTTCCATATTTTGTGGGATCATCTCTCTTTGAAATAGGTACAAATACGGATCTCTACCAGTCAGTAGGCCAAGTAGCTGTCTTCCCAATTTCTTTGCATAGACAAGTGAGTACCTCTAACATGGCATCTGTTTGTAGAAACATCTCAGTGAGTATTCTCTCAGTTCCTGAAGCCTTGTTCTTTGCCAATTCCTTCAGTGCACCTTTGACTTCTTCCTTCAGTATCATTGGTTCTTGATCATCATATGCCACCTCTTGAAATGGATGAACATTGACCAATTCTGTTTGGTACAGTGACTCTGTGTATTCTTTCCATCTTCTTTTGTTGTTTCTGGCATCATTCAATATTTTGCCCATAGAAACTTTCAATATTGCAATTCAAGGCTTGAATTTTTTTCTTCAGTTCTTTCAGCTTTAGAAATGCCGAGCGTGTTCTTCTCCTTTGGTTTTCTAACTCCACGTCTTTGTACATTGTGTTATAAAAATTGACTTTGTCTTCTCAGGCTGCTCTTTGAAATCTTCTGTTTAGCTTTTTTATCTTGTCATTTCTTCCATTTGCTTTAGCTACTCTCTGTTCTAGGGCAAGTTTCAGAGTCACTTCTGACATCCATTTTGGTCTTTTCTTCCTTTCATGTCTTTTTAATGACCTTTTGCTTTCTTTATGGATGATGTTTTTGATGTCATCCCTCAGTTCCTCTGGTTTTTGGTCACTGGTGTTCAATACATCAAATCTTTTCTTTAGTTGGTAAATTCGGGAGGAATAAAATTAAGGTCATATTTTGGCTCTTGTGGTCTTAATTGTCTTCAGCTTCACCTTGAACTTGCATATGAGCAGTTGATGGTCTGTTCCACAATCAATTCGTGGCCTTGTTTTAGTTGAAGATACTGAGTTTTTCCATCACCTCTTGCTACATTTGTAGTCAGTCTGATTCTTGTGTACTCCATCTGGTGAGGCCCACCCACATGTATAGCCACCGATTGTGTTGTTGAAAAAAGGTATTTGCAGGGAATAACCAATTTGTCTTGCAAAATTCTGTCATTCAATTTCCAGTGTTATTTCTGTCACCAAGGCCATATTTTCCAACTGCTGTCATAGAATTGAGTAAAAATTATTCTCTTGTTTTAGTGAAATATTCTAGTTTTTTGGTTGACCAGCTTTCATTTATTAAAATTAGTAGTATTTGTGAAAGTGCATTGACAATCCCAAAGTGCTATACATATATTAGGTATTCATTTGAAGAGGATAATTTATGGGAAATAAAATGTTTTAAAAGGGTTGATTTTTCCTTTTTTCCTAAGTGCTTACTAAAACTCCATATTTTGTGCTTGTAGAAATTATTGATGGTAAGAATTCTAATGATACAATTATTTCAGGCCTTTTGTGTTACCTTCTAATTGCCTGCAGAGGCATAAATGGTTTGCACTTGACTATTAACCTAAACGTTGATAGTTTAAACTCACTTATGGTGCCACAGGAGAAAGACCTGGCTATCTACTGTCGTAAAGATGATAGCCAAGATGGAACATTTCTATCCGGTAACACATGGGGTTGACATGAGGTGGAATCAACTTGATGGCAATATATTTTTTAGTTGCTTAAAACTGTTGGCACATAGATATACAATTTTTAGAGCAGGCAAGGATTTTAGAGGTGTGTGGTAAATATTTGTGTGTTACCTTGCCCTTTTTCTTGGCAACTAGAAAGCAAACTCTAGGTTTTTAAGTATCAGTGAATATGCTGGCTTTCTCTATCATATATCATAGTGCTTAGCACATTGCTTGTTTTTATGAAGCTCTAATAAAACTTAACCAATCATGCCTCTTCATTTTTTTACATTTGAAAGTTTAGCCCCAGAAATGTTGAGTGGCTTGCAAAAATTCATGCAACTAGTTAGTACAAGATCTGGACCCAGATCTTGAGTCTCTTTGGTGCCTCGTAGTTCAGTGCATTTTTTATTATACTTTGTCACTTCTCCCAAGGCCCAAGGACACACTGCTATATAT